GGCCCCGGGGGGCGGAAGGGCCGGGGCGGGGGGGGGGGGCCAGCCACACCGGGACTGGCAGCCTGACACCAGCGCCACCAGGACACTACATGGTGGTGGACACAAGTCCTGCGGCCCTGCCCCGGGGCCACGTGGCCTCCCTGACCTCCGAGGAGCATCGGCCCCTGGCCCAGCCCGCCTGCCTCACATTCTGGTACCACCTGAGCCTCCGCAACCCAGGTGAGAGGGTGCAGAGGGGGCGCGGGCACGGGCGCCAGCCTTCTCCACTGGCTGACGGCTGGCCCTCGGCCTGGCAGGCACCCTGCGTGTCCACGTGGAGGAGGGCAGGAGGCGCCAGACACTCCGCCTCAGTGCCCCCGGTGGCTTTGCCTGGCGCCTGGGCAGTGTGGACGTGCAGGCCACGCAGGCTTGGAGGGTGAGCGCTTGGCCAGCGGGGGTCCTGGGCGGTGTGGACATGCAGGCTACGGGCCCCAAGGGTGAGCGCTTGGCCAGCGGGGCCTGACCAGCTCAAGGCCACCCCGGCCTGCACCGCCAGGTGGTGTTCCAGGTGGAGGCTGCGGGCGTGGAGCGCTCCTACGTGGCTTTGGACGACCTTGCCCTGCAGGATGGGGCCTGCCCCCGGCCAGGTGGGGCCCTGCTGCAGCAGCCGTGGCGCCCAGGGCGGGCACAGGTGGCAGCACCACTCACCCCTGCGTCCGCGCAGGCTCTTGTGACTTCGAGTCCGGCCTGTGCGCCTGGAGCCATGTGGCCAGGCGCGACCTGGGCAGCTACAGCTGGGACTGGAGCAGCGGCGGTGTGCCCTCCCGTTACCCGCAGCCTCCTGTGGACCACACCTTGGGTACGGAGAAAGGTGCGTGCCTGCCAGGGCCAGGCCGAGCTGGGGGGACAGAGCCAGAGAGCCCCCATCCCGGCTGGGTCCAACTCCCCAGGCTCACCTTGGCTCGGACGCCACAGGATCCACCTGGGCAGCAGGGCACCCCTCCTCGTTCTAGGTCACTTCGCCTTTTTTGAAACTGGCGTGCTGGGGCCCGGTGGCCGGGCGGCCTGGCTGCGCAGTGAGCCTCTGCCGGCCACGCAGGCCTCCTGCCTGCACTTCTGGTACTACATGGGCTTCCCCGAGCATTTCTGTGAGTCGGCCGAGGTGGGGTGTCGGGCAGGGGCAGAGGTCACCCGGGAGCCCTCCAGGCCGATGCCTGACCACTCCAGCCCTGCCCTCAGACCAGGGAGAGTTGCGTGTGCTCCTGAGCAGCGCGCGGGGCCAGCTGGCTGTGTGGGCCGAGGGCGGGCGGCAGCGGCAGCAGTGGCTGCAGGCCCAGGTCGAGGTGGCCAGCCCTGAGGAGTTCCAGGTGAGCAGGGCGGCCCCGGGCCAGGAGCGCTTGGGCCTGGCTGGCCACTCAGCACCAGGTCCAGGCAGCTCCGCTCCGCCCCACCAGGTTGTGTTTGAAGCCACTGTGCGTGGCCAGCCGGCCCTGGGGCCCATCGCCCTGGACGACATCGAGTACCTGGCCGGGCAACGCTGCCAGCGGCCTACAGCCAGCCAAGGTAGACCCTGGCCCAGACGGCGGGCCAGCAGGCCCTGGGCCCTCCCCACTGTCAGGCTGACCCAGCCCGGGCCTATGTCCTGTGTCTGCCCAGCAGAGCTGTGGCTGTGGGATCCTGGCCCGAGCTGTGCAGGGCCAGCCTGCCCACCCCCAGCCCCAGCTGCACCGCCGCACCCCTTCAGATGAGCCTCTGGGCTTCGCCCTGGTCTGCAAGTGGGGGTTCAGATCCCAGGTCTCAGGCACCCCACTGCCCGCAGGGGGCCTGGCTGCGCCATCGATACCAGCTGCAGTTGGCGGTGCCCTCTCCCTCATGCTCCTGGTACTGCTGGGACTCGCAGGACGGCGCTGGCTGCTCAGGGAGGGGGCCTGCCAGTCCTGGAGCCACACTGAGGCCGCGGGCCCTGGCTTTGACAACGTCCTGTTCAATGCGGTAGGGGTTCCCGGGTGAACAGCCGCTGCCCTGTGCTCCCCCATGACAATGGAGGAAGTGGCAGGACGACTCAGAGGGGCCACACTCCCCACTCACAGCCCTCCTTCCTCCCAGGACCGAGTCACCCTCCCAGCATCTGTCACCAGTGACCCGTAGGTGCTCCAGCCCAGCCCAGCCCAGCCCAGCTCAGCACTGCCATGAGTGCCCTGGTGCCCCGCAGACCTGGCCCAGGGCTCATAGCCGCACCAGCCCGGCCTGCTCCCAGCATGCAGAGGGGCCCTTGCCCTGTGAATAAAATCTCTGGGGGCCAGCAGGTGGCGTGGCGGTTGAGGTGCTGGACTTCCATGTGGCCAACCACGGTTCAAGTCTTGGACCTGGTGGCTTGCTTTCTCATTTTCACTTTGTTTGGTGAGCACAAACTAAAAAATAATAGTAACAATAAATAAAATTGAGTCATTCTTTAAAAAACAAAAAAAACTAAAAGAGCAACCAGCAGTTGGCCTAACGGCTCTGTTGCTGGACTCCCATGGCGGCTTAAACTCACATCAGGCATGTATGCGTGCATGCCCAAGATCCCGAGAGGAGACTGGAGGAGAGGGGATTGCAGTGTGGCCATCCTCCCTGGGGGGAGATTTTTCGCTGTCTTTCTCTTTCTGGTGAGCGTAAGTGCCCTATAGCAAAAACCTCTCCGAAAAAGAAAAAAAAAATTGAGAGAGGCCAGCAGGTGGCGAGGCGGATGAGGCTCTGGACTCCCACATGGTTGACCACGGTTCAAGTCTCTGACCTAGCGGCTTACTTTCTTGCTTTCCCTTTCTATCTCTCTCTGGTCAAAATGGAAGAACAATGATAATAAAATTAAAAATAAATAAGCCTTTTTAAAAAAGAAAAGAAAATCACACCAGGCACGTGAGCATGCTCAAAAGCCCAGGAGAATGGAGGAGACTGCGGTGTGGCCATCCCCCTAGGAGTGACTTCTCACTTTGCTTCTCGCGGTCTGTCTCCCCAGTGAGCGCACATGCCCTATGGCAAAAACCTATAAAGCAAACATGCGGCCCATGCCCACAAAGGCAGCCCCGCTGTCGGGCAACCCCGCACAGACACACAGGCCATTCCACCCTAGGCAGCTTGGGGCAATCTCCCCAGAGGGCTTGGGAAGCCACTTCCCAGGCCAGGCAAGCCCCACAGCCATGGAGCCCACGAGGCAGGCCCGGCCCCTCTGGATGACTGCGTCCTCTGCCAACAGGGCAAAACCCAGCCACCTGCAGGGCAAACTGAGGGTACCACCACTGGGACATGGAGCCACCTGTGGGCATGGCCCAGTGAGGCCACCGCACACAGGGACCCCACACCAATTCGCGATAGAGGGCCTCTTGCTCACCCCCAGTAACAGGCACTGCGTCCCATCTGGAGTCGAGGCCTCTTGCCTCCACTGGGCCCCAAGTCCCACGGTGCTCCCACGACACTCCCGAGCCGGTCCCGGGAGGCACGGCCTGCACTCTGGCTCCTGCACCGAGGGAGGCAGAGCTTCCCAAAGGTGTGGGAGGGAGTGGGGCAGGGTCGCACTCAGAGCCCAGGCCACCACGGGGCGATCCGGGTGTGCCCGTCCCCGCCAGGTCTCAGGCACAGTGGGGACTCCTGCATCTGTCCCACAGACCCCTGCACCAGGAGCCGTGGTGGTCGTGGAAGGCATGACAACAGCTGCAGGGCTCCTGCTGGTCCAGGCCCAACAGTGGCCCGGGGGATTACCTCGACCCCAGCAAGCCCCTCAGTGTTGGCCACGGAAACCCTTTCCCCAGAATAGGGGCGGGCAAGGTGGGAAAACCTCCCACCAGCTTCTCACAAAGGCCAACCAGAAGCAGGGCCAGTGACAGGGACGTCCTCTTGTTTGGCCTTGCCATCAGCCCCGGCAGAGGCTGCCAACGTCTGCCCCGGATCCGAGCAGGTGGGAGAAAACACCCAGAAGCCGCGAGTTGCAGTTTTGTTTTTGTTTGACAGCAGGTGAGGGTTGAGGAGGGCCCCCAGGCCTAAGGCCCATGCTGCATGGCCACGTGGGAGACCCACGTCGGGGCTGCGTCAAGGATGGGCCGCTGCGCCGACTTCGAGGCTCTGTGCTCACTTCGCCCGGGGCCCCTTCTCGATGGGCTTCCCGATGTCCTTCCCTCGGAGCTTGAGGCCTGCGAGAGCCAGGGTGGCTGACTGCCTGCCTGCCCGCCCCGCCCTGCCCCACCCCGCTGCCCTGCCCGGCTGTGCTGGCTGAAGCACCCCATCCAGTCCGCTGCCCACCCTGCCCCGCTGCACTGGGCACACTCCGAGCCCCTCATGGGCCCCCCGTCTGACCCCCGGGAGGCCACGACCGCACCTCCCCTAGCAGAACCAGCACCTGAGCTTCCTGGGACACTGGGCTGGCCCACCTGGGACAGGCCGAGGTGCCACTCGTCACCTGCCCAGGGCTCCTGGGCCGCCTAGGCCATAGCACAGGGCAGCACGACGACCCTGCCCAGGGCGCCCGCTGAGGCACACACGCTGGCACTCACCGATGGCCCTCTCGATTTTGCCCAGAACCTGGTTGTTTGGGATGGCCCGTCCGCTCTCGTAGTCCGCAATGACTTGAGGCTTTTCATTGATTTTCTACCGAGAAACGAGGCCCGTTTATGCTTTTGCTAGAGCGCGTACACTTGCTAGAGGCTGGGTCGGGGGAGTAGGAAGCAACCCCGTGGGAAACGGCCCTGCTCAGGCCCTCCTCCAGCCCTCCTTCCTCTGGGTATTTTGGGCACACACATGCCCCACGACCAGGACTTGAACCATGTGGTCGGCCAGGGGTTCCCTAGCCACCTTAACCACCAGGCCGGGAGCTGGCCCGAGATGCACACCAGCTCTCCAAGACGCGCTGTGGACCCAAGATGGGCTTGTGGGCCCGTCAGGGAGAGCCAGGGCTGAGCGGCCCTCACCCAGCCGCGTCTTGGCAGGCAAATGGACGGTCCCTCCGGCCAGGCTGCCTGACAGTCTCGGGGTGCCCGTGCTGGGCAGGCGCTCACCGTGGCCAGGTCCTTCTGCGTCAGCCCCTTGCTCTGCCGGCCCTGCTGGATCACCTTGCCCACCTCCAGGGGCACCCTGTCATGGTGTAGCTCCTCCGTCTCGCGGTCCAGCTTGGCCGTGTTCTTGGTGATGGCGTGCTGCTTGTTCTGCCCCGCGGCCCCTGTCGACAGGCCAGGGCACAGGACAGGGCTCTGGCCACCCCGAGGAAGACACCTTCACAGTGCTCCCCAGACCCCGCACGGAGCCCAGCACGGCGTGGCAGACCAGGCAGGGAGGCAGAGTGTGGGGTTCTCAGGTACAGGGGGGCAGACGGAAGGTGCAGTCCCCACTGTCGCACACCGGCCAGAGCTGCTCTGAGGCGTTCACAGACACCTCCAGAGCCCTGCGGGCTGTCACCCTGACCCTGACACAGGTCCCAGGGACACGCCGAAGCCCACGCTGGCTCAGCAGGGGAAGCACGAGCACTCACATTTTTTGGAAGTCTCCACGTCCTCTCCCCGTCGCTGGGCCGCTAAGATGGCCTACGAAGCCAGGAGATGTCTCTGACCAAAGCGAGCTCCAGCAGCGCCTGCACCCACGGACTCTGGCCGCTGCCAGCCAGGGCACTGCCACGCCCGCGCCCAGAAGGGTTAGCACAGCACAGTCAGCCCCCAGGCTGGGCCAGGCAGGCTGCAGAGGCGGGCTGCAGGAGCGTGCTGCTCGGACGCAGGTCCGCGTGGCAGCCATGTCTCCAGCGAGGCCTGGGTTCCCAGGGCCTGACGGCAGGAGGGCAGCAGCACGTGATGGCAGCTGCCGGCCCGCGGGGCTCTCCTCCCACTCCCACTCCCTCTCACACCGCACACTCGCTCTCGGAATAACAGCAACCCAAGTGCCACACACAGCACCTTTGAGTATTCGAGCGGCTCATGAGCCTCCACTGAGGGAGGAGGAGCAGCTCACGTCACTGCCCGGTAAGAAAGATGGCATCATGGTTACATCCTGGACGCCCACGTAGTGGGCTGTGGTTCCAGTCCCAGACCGGCAGTTTAAAACTCACGCAGGGCATGTGTGCACGCGTGCCCAAGATCCCGAGAAAATGGAGAAGGGATTGTGGCATGGCCATCCCCCTGGGGGTGATTTCCCACTTTGTCTGTCTCCCCGGAGAGCACATGTGCCCTATAGCAAAAATCTCTCTAAAAAAAGACAGGCTCTCTGTTCTTTCCTAGAAGTTGTGACTTGAAGTGGGTTTACCTCTCCACTAAATGCTCCTTCAAAAGCGGGGAGGGACAACACGCTGGGCTGGAGTGGCCTTCCTCCAGGAGTCAGGCCCCAATACGACACCAGTGACCCCACCTGCCCCGCAGTCGCCACTGTGAGCACGACAGTTTCCTGACCTACATGACCGTCCAAAGAAGCGACCTGGGGACGTCGTATGACGTGTTCAGAGGCTCCTTCCACATGACCCCAGAGCAGAGAATTTGGTTTTGGTGACACAAGTGACAAGCCCCAGGCAGGACCACCAATGTCCTGCTCCAGGGCCAGGGGCTTGGCTGGGGACTGTGTGGCTGAGGCTGGGAGGCTGTGACACCAGACTCACGGACTAGAGAGGGGTCCAGGCGGCCAGTGGGGAGGCGGGCCACCTGTCCCCACCGTGGCAGTCAGGCCCCCACGGTGAGGTGAGCAGGGCGCATCTGACTGTGGGCACAGCAGAACCCGGCGGGGGAGGCCGCCCTCCCCAGGGTGCCCGCCACGCCGGGCCTAGGTGCACCCCTCGACCCGGTCCTCACTCC